TCGGGGAAGCAAAAATGTATAAAAGGTATGAAATATATGGCATGTTTTTCCACTTACCGGCGCCCGGCGCCGGAACGGCGTTGACTCCCGGTGCCGTGACAGCAAGCTTCCCAGTTCCCACTCGTTGGCGGCCGGCAAAACTGCAAGAGTATTATGTACGTATTGCAGCCGTGTGCATGTGCACGTGTGCGCGGGCCGAAATAGAAGGGACGCGTTGAGATTGATACTCGAAATTGTGACTTGTGAAATGATGAAATATTTCCTCGTTCATGCGGAAGTAGTTGAAATATTTTTAAAGTGCATTTCCAACTTTTAAAATGGGGTATAATATGCTCTTTCTAAGTATTTTATTTTTAAGATTGGATGAATTCAAAATTTGACTTCTTTGCGTAAGATATAACAAACAAATATAACGACTTGACGAAACCTATTTTTACCTGTCTTAGAACTGAAGTGTGTTAGTACTGCTCAAAAACCGAGCGTAGGCCGGCACCGGCACCGGCGTGGTGGAAAAATGAAGCCACGGCGCCGTCGCCGTGCTGGTAAATGGAAAACCGCCCGATAGATAGTTTAACAATTTAACGTTCGGAAACGTTTCTTTTAGTGCAGTGTTAAGATTTGTTATTATTATTATACCTAATATTCATTGTTCGCGAACAACACAAACGAGCCCGTACGAATTATATTCAACAACCCTAAATTTTTTTACTTTAAAGTTGTTTATTTCTGTAATAATTATTTTTTGTTTATTTTTTCATCACACATTATTGCTTATTTTTTTATATTTATTTTTTAGATAACCTGTAAATATCTAAGCACTAGATATAAATATAATTAATTTGTTACTATACCAAATAATAGTAGGTATTTAAAATTTGCACCTGTTGTTGGCAATTATTTAAAAATTTTTGAATGTATTTATAACGTTGGTTGTATGATCAATAAAGAAAAGAAAAAAAAAGCTTTTAGTGAGATTCGATTGAGAGGAAGAGAGAATGTTTTGTTAGTGGCTTAGTGGTTGTTTAGTAAAGTTTGACAATTGTTTATAAAAGACGATTTATTTTAAAGAAAAGAAGAAGAGAAAAGCAATTAAAAAGCAATATAAGAAAAGCAATTGTTCTGCATTAAGATTTTTTATCTTACAAAGTGTGCCAGCGTTTTTGCTTATTAGTTTAATTACCAACAAATCAATAATTTTATTTTGTGAATTTCAATTGTATTTTTCTATATTTATAGTACTTCTAGAATTTTCGGTCTCTGGCCAACACAAGATAAAAAGTAGCCGCTCTCGGGCCTTAGTTATGAGTGCAAACAAAGTAATAAAGCAAATAACGTGGCAAGCAGCATGCACCGGGCAGGTGGAGCGCATAGCGGCGCCGACGTACGCGTCGTGGTGGCGGGCGCGACGCGGCAGCGCGCCGGCCTGCCTGGCGCCCGCCGCCGCCGCTGCGGGAGCGGGAGCAGCTGCAGCTGCGGGAGCGGGTGGCGCCAGCGCGCCGCGCGTGTGCTGGCGGCACGCGCGGCACCAGGCCGCCGCCGCCGCCTACACCGGCACCGCTTGCTCGTGCGACGCGCGACACAGGTAACAGAGCGCCCATTAATTACGCCACCTGTTTATGAGGGGGGAAGAAGAGGGAGGGTCTCGCCAAATATCACGTTATTTTATTTCCCCAACAAGCAGCAAAATTGCGTTGAATGAAGGGGAGGGGTGAGAGGGTCGAGCCATAAAAGATGTATTGTAATCGCTACTGTCTACAGTTCACTGCTGAGCCCTAAGTCCTCAATGAATAGAAGCAGTTGCTTAGCTGTGAGTAATTTCACCTTTTCTGGGCGAAGCATATAGTTTCCCAGATGAGTGCTGCGTTTGCGCATTAAGGGTCCGCAATTTGTCAGGATGTGTAAAGTCTCGGGTCCAAATTGTGTACTCTTTGAGCCCTCCCGTGCGAGCTTGTCGGCAGTTTCATTGCCTACAATACCCGCATGACCTTTATTACCTCCCAAGGCGTTTAGGCGGTTCACGCAGTCTCCAACTAGCTTCGAGTTCATCAAGTTTGATCTCAGCGCTAGCAGTGCTTATTGATTATCAGAGTTAAGAGGGTCGAGTCATATCTCACGTAATTAATGGGCGCCCCTTAACGGCTCCAGAAGTTTTTATCAAATGTCACAACGATAAACAAAGATAGACAGAACACCGTGTACATTTTAAATGACGCCGAAATCATGCTTAACTTCTTGACACGCAGCAGAGATTAAATATATATATATACTATAGAGCGGGCATTGGGAAAATTTATATACAAAAACTTTAAGCTCGTGCGTGTGTGACGCCCTCTAGCTAAAAATAGCAAAACTACGCTATCATTTATTAAAACAACATTTTAGCTATTCCCCAGTAGGTGACGCTTAAAATATAAGATCGTTTTAGGAATGTTACTTTCGATACCAAAGTATCGATAATGTTATTGAAGGTTACTAAGTTTGAAACGCTTTAAAATATAATAATAGGGAATAAAATGATTGTTTCATTGTATAAATTTATTTATCATGACTTCCATCACACGAAAAAAATCACTTTAACTTTTTATGCCGATCATCATATTTTGACCAATCTTGGATGACGTCACTCGGTCCATTAGAAGCTATAATAATAGCATATGATTGGTCGATCGGCGTTGAAGACACATCAAGAAACGCCAATTTCAATAAGGGAGCGCCTCTATGTTTTTAAATTAGTTTCTTTTACAAAAATACACTTCAAATCTAAAATATTTAGGAAAACACTGAACTTAAAAGCCGTTTCACGATAAATCATTTTATAAATTTATATTCATACATTCATATTATAAATACGCTGGTATGTTATGTACCAATATTCTTCAAAGAGATTTATGCTCAACAGCTTGTGACATTACTGACTTAGTGAAAGAAATCATAGTGAGGAATACTGAACATTATAATCTGAAATCACGAACATGCAATAAGCAAGTGTTGTGATTAATGCTCGTTACTTCCCTGTATGTGAAGACTACTTTGCGCTACAGTAGGCTAATACAGGCTAGTATTATTATAATAAATGAAATTATTCCAGTACTTTCAACGGAATTTATTTAGAAAAATGTTTAAATTGTTGTAAATCGAACTCATAACTAACATCAACACAGCAAGTATCCTCAGCATGTTCATAAGCAACACAGAAAATTTCATTATCATGCCTAAATCATTTTGATATGCATCTAAAACAATGTTGTTGGCATGTAGAATTTGATTATGTAACAACTCTTATTACACTATACGTTATTCAGACAATAAGCCAGTTAATGCGACCGAGTGCATTTAGTCGTTGTGAATCCAGAGTAGACAGGCTAAAGGTTATCACTTATTCGACACACTTATTCTTCTTCAAAGTAACACAGTCTGAATATCGTCTGGTGTAATAGGGCCATTAGATGAAATAAAATTTTGTTCTACAGACCCAAAAGCCGTCAACGGCGCGCCTCAGCAGACGTGCCACAACTACGGCCGGAGTCGCCTCCATGTCGTCGCCCCTTCCCGCTGGCTGTACACGAACTGCGCCTTACCACGTTACAGCACAAACTTACCGCCTTATGACATATTCAAGATATTAGCTGTTATTCTGATTGAATTACATATTTAAAAATTTTATACAGGAATTCTTTAAAGCGCAATGAAAGAGTTATGTGATATTTAAGTTTAGGAAGTGACACAGAGTGTGATATCAGATAAAGAAATTAATAGGCGAAAACCGAACGTGAACGTGTGACTGACTTAGATTTGCTTTATTACATTACAATTCTGAAACAGTATCACCAGTTTTTATGACCTTACAGTTGTGAAACGCCTTTGATGTCCGGCGATGCCGCCGCCCGCGGAGGTATTCACGCGGCCAGCATGTATGCTAGGGTTGTCACGAAATTGGAATAAAAATGATTTTGAATATTATAATACTCATTACATAATAAATAAATAGCATTATCTAATCATTATCTTAATAACATTAAATAATAACATTGTGTACATATTTATAAATGAAAAACGTTTATCGAACAAGATCACTTTTTTATTACTACAAGAAAAAACATATTTACAAGTGTTGCACTGCCAAAGATTTTCGTGACACTTTATTTTTATAGATGTTCTAATTTTTCGATTGTTAAATTTAATTATGTAATGTATTCGCATTCGAATAAACAATTTTATCAACAAAAAAATGAGGGAAACATAAGCATGGCCGTTATTTCAATTTAACTTTACTTAGTAACTCACATAACTATAACAGTAATTCACCATTCGAGATATTATATTTTTCGAAAACGGCACTAAATTATTATTTAAATAAGCACTATAAAACACGCTCGCGCCAACAGTACAATTACGTTGGTTTTTATGTGTAAGGCACTGAATGAGTAAACACTGACATGCCTATGGACTGACGCACAATATCATTGGTCTTTACATCTTGATCAATAACTACTTATATCAAAATCTTCTTTAAAATAAAACAAAGCAATTGATTTATCAATACAGAATGCTCGATTAAACGTATGTCTATCGGACTAAAATAGTAGTGTAAGTTGTTGGTTTTATGTTCAAATAAAGTCCGTTTGTTTGCATTTATATAGATTGAGATATGATACTCATCAAACTATAAACCTTTAAGGGGTAAAGAGTTTCTATTTTGATATTTTTAGAAATTTTTATCAATAACTTATCATTCAAATTACCTTTGTATGGTAAGCAAATTAAAATAGTTTAGTTTACACAAATATACTGTTGTTTTATTTTTAATCTGAAAATTTTACGATAAAAAATCATAAAGGAAGCTCGTATTTTGTGTATATGTGCATTAAAACAACGTTCTCTGTATAAATAAAACAAACTTTATTTATGAATATTACAAATCCGCCAACGATACGGCCTCATTTACAACAATATTTAATTAATCTTTCAATGTGTGGACTAAAGCGGGGTGTGAGTGAACGTTAAAGCATTCCAAAACCTTTTGAGTAACTAATGGCTTTCATCAATCTATCCTCGAGTTTTTCTTTGTTCTCATATTCAGGAAGCAGTAATACGTTAAAGCAAGTGTGTGCCGTTGGCAAACGATCGCAGTCTGGTCCATTCCTCGCAATAACCAGCTTTAAGTGGCTTAAGCCCCCTACTGGGACTCTGTCTGAGCCGGTTGTGAACTGCAGCAGTTTCCTCTTGTCCTCCAACGAGAGATTGTGTACTATACTCCAGAAGTCTTTAATGGTTTGCGATTCAGACGTGTAGCCACCATCGTATTCCGTCGACTTTTCCAGTTCGTTGAAGTCGAAATTCTGAAAGTAAAATGTACTTAACTTACGAAATTCTCAAAGTAATTATGGCAACATTTTCAAACAACACATTGTACCCAAAATTTTATCGGCATCAATCATAACCATCGGTAGAACCAATTTTTCCACTTTAACATATTATTACACAAGCTATCTATAATGATACATAGATACTTCTTTTAAATAAAACTAGTTTTTACGGATTTTCTCGCGTATAGTAACTTATTTTATTATATTATTTTTTTTATAGGATAGGGTGACAAACGAGCACACAGTCCACCTGATGGTAAGTGGATATTTATCCTCGATAAAGAATCAAAATGCAGATGCGTCGTCACCCGTGAGGACTAAGATGGAATGCCTTTTTTCAGTAAAATGGGTCTCCGGTTCTTCACAATCACCATACGGAACATAAAAGTGTCAAGATGCCATTTTACGCTGATATTCTGTGAGAGCGTGGTCCTTCCCCGGGCGAGCCGACCCATTCGTACTATAACTATACTACTAATATAGCTGCAGCATGGCTCTACCACGTATAATCTATACAAATAAATAAAATTGAAATGTCTGTTTGTAATGTCAAAATTACAGTTTTTTACTAAATGCATATGAGAGCAAATACGGTACTTGTAACTAAGATACAATTTTTAAAATTTTTGTCTGTCTGTTTGTTCCGGCTAATCTCCGAAAGGGCTGGACCGATTTTGACGGGACTTTCACTGGCAGGTAGCTGATTTCATAAGGAGTAACTTAGGCTACTTTTAATTTAGAAAAAGGATAAGGTTCCGCGCAAAAAACATAAAAACCCTAACACGCGAGCGAAGTCGCGGGGAACAGTTAGTATAATATAATTCACAAAAACTAGTTTTATTTAAATGTGTAGTGAAGGAAGTCATTACTTCTTTTAATTACAGATTCATTGGAATGTTGGCATAATAAAAACAATTTAAAATTAAGTTAAAGACAAACATACAAAAGTAACGTTTTTGGAATGCTTGCAACACGCCCAGTTTTTCGCAAAAACGTCTGTTGTAGGAAATAAATTTAGACTGATTGCAAATGTACATTAAAAGTGACGAATTTATCCAGGATATCGAATTACGTCTACTCAATAATGAAATTAGTGTTGGTCATTTCCTGGACATATTGTAGAATTTATGAATTGTGTAAAATATTATTTAAATGAGGAAGTTTAATTTGATTTAAATGCAATACGTAATGCATGGACTTTAATAGGCTGTAACGGTAACAATAACAGCAATGCGTAATATGATTTTTGTTTAAGTTTGTGGTTATTAAAAATTTGTTAATAAAAATAAAATGTTTATTTACAAAATATAAGAGGGATTAATTAGTGTTTTCTTGATACACGGTTACTCATATTATCGTATAAGTGCAATATGGTTTTGCTTGACACGTCAAGTGTCGAAAGTGGAATACTCCAATAACGCTTCGCGTTATGAGGCGTGCATTACTATTGAATTTAATTTAATAAAAAAAATTATTTTAAATTATTTTTTTTTGACTCATTGAATCATGTCAGTCAACGAACGACAAAAGGTACCAAAAAATTCAGTCTTATTTTTACAATCTATTTATTTATTTAGTACCAAAAATAAAGCAAGAGCAAAAAGTAAAATACTTGGGGTACTTCCTTATTGAGAATATTATACGAAGTTTTATTCTGTACATAATTGGTGCTTGCAAAGGCAAGTTCAGCGCCCCTTTGAGCCTTGCGGCCAAGGATCCAGCCTAGTTAGCTAGTGGGCAAATCAGGCCCAGCTCATAAGTCACGCCTGCACGTCACTAAGGGAAGCGCGGGGACAAAGGCGGGATCCGGGCGCCGAAACCGCATGACTTATCATGCGCCTAGTACTTTTGGTCAAGTAGTACATATGAACAAAACAATTTGTTTGATGTGTTTGATATTGGTAATGTGAACGTAAACAGTGTATGTTTTATTTTATTTAATTAAATGTATTAGTAACATAAATTTTAGCTTTCTGCACTCCATATAAACTTTAACTATGCCCAATCTCACACTCCTCAGTGCACGCAATATTAAGCATATTAGAGATAGAAAAGGGTTTTACAAAATTTTCCAATTACGTATTTTCACAACGGAACGAAAATAGTCTCAGAAACAAATATACAACAATTTTTAAGAACACCTTTCATGTCGGCTGGATATTTAGTGGGCAAGGTCTTGTCCTCTGAGGATAATAACGACAGCGTAACGCTTCTGGACACAGTAAATATCAAAGAATTCACGATTCGGCAGCACAATAGCTAAGAGTTTAGTAACAATTTCGATTACTGCATAAAACATGTATAAGTATGGCCTTTACATAATTATCCCAAGTCTGACTGTTTTACCTTAAAGCGGAGGGAAATGTTATTTCATTAAGAGGAAAGTTCTAATACCCAAATACTCAAACGTCGTCTAAGTCTCGTGCTGCCTCTATCACTTTAAATCAAAGTGACTATGACACCACGACACTTATCAACATTTTACAATTGCGTAGCGTTTGAGTATTTGGTCATAAGAGAAGAAAATAAGCTAAGAACAATTTGTGTTAGTAGTTTGGAACTTACATCTAGAATATAAGTTACAGCCTAAATATGGCCCACTGCTGGCCGCTGGCCTCCTTTTATTTCTGAGAATGTCTATAAATATAAATATTAAAATATACTAACTTTGCTGCCACACACCAAAGTCTCGACTTCTTCCGGTCGGAACAGTGCACCAAGCGGACTTTCGTCTGTCACCATCAAGAATCCACGTCTAAATGCTTTGAACTGCGTCTCCACTGATTTATTGAGCAAAAAATCTGCATATAAGTCCACAAATTCCTTTAAAAATAAATATTTTAATTTGTTAGTAATTTGATTTGCAAAAAAAATAAGGACTAAAGTACAATTTTTTTATAAGATTAGGATGACAAGCAAATGCAGATGGCTCTGAACCGTGTTTTGTGGCATTCCTTGGGGAAGGCCCTTGTACACCAGTGAACTAGTGAAGGGCTATAATGATGATGATGATGATGGGGCAACAAACGAGCTTACAGTTCACTTGATGGTTAGTGTCCGCTACAGCCCACAGACACCTGCAGCTAACTTTAAAAAAAGTACCGCAAAGACGTGGGTTCTAAGATGGAATGCCTGCCATAGTCTATAAATATACTGGTTCATTTACCCTTTAAGCCGAAACAAAGCATTCGTACACAGCTGCTTGGCGGCAGACGTCAATAAGAGAAGGTTTCAGGTGGGATTCTAGAAAAGTAGTTTGCCTCTCATAAACACCACATAAACTGGCAAGTGCAAGTCCAGTCGTGCATGGAGTAACCCTGCCATATATGGATTGGTGCTGCAAAATGCCACACAGGCTACAGGATACATTTCGGTGGGTTATTCCGTTTATCCAACCTAAGACAGCCACCACCAGATTATTATTTAATAATCTAAGGTATAATAAATTAAATATATTCTTTATTATTAGTGCAATACGGTAGTATACCCGTACCGTAGACCAGGACCATCGTAGCTCAGATGGTTAGCGCTCGCTGTAAGTTTCACAGTTCCTCGGGTTCGATCACCGCCGGCACCAATGAAATTGTTAATTGCAATTTTAAGTGCTGATTTACCACGTGCTCGACGGTGAAGGAAAACATCGTGAGGAAACCTGAATGTCTGAGAAATAAGAAAAAAAATATTTCGAAGACATGTTAAGTTCGCTAATACGCATTGGGGCGGTGCGGCGGACACTTCCTTGCCCTAAAACCCTCTCAGAAATGAGAGGAAGCCTGTGCTCAGTAGTGGGAGGTATATAGGCAGTAACTTTAAGGTAGTATACATCTCAGGGTGGATCTTTTAGGATGGATAAAGGGAATAAGCCATTTCGGTGAGTGTGCGCAGGAGTTGCATGAATTAATTTCTCCCTCTCTCTACCACCATCGGTCTCTACCCATTTGTTGTTGACAGCTTACTAAATGGCAAGACTACTTTTCCGCATAAAGGACTGGGTAGGTGACACTCTCTTACCTATTTCTGCTGCTAAACAACAGTGTGCAATGCTGAGTTCCAGTCTGAAGAGTATAGAGAGGTAGTATAATTACAGATAGAGTTGTGATTATATTTTAGTCCTCAGTGGTAACGCCGTATCTATAGCATTCTTTCTTTAAAATTGGTTACACATGTCCATGGGCTACAATCGACACTAACCATCGTGTGTATTGTTCGTTCTCATGCCACTTTAATTGTATAAAAAAATACACATTTGACTAAGTATAAAGTAATTATTACATTACCTTCTTATTTTCCTGTGTAACAAATATACTGTCTCCATTCTCTTTTAAGTCATGGAAAAGATTGTTACCAAACACATCTTGGTAGCATATCCTAAATGTTTGGTAATACACTTCTTCTAAATCACTTTCCATATAATCTAACATATCTTTTAGACCGTTGTATAAAGTCTGCAAGAAAGGAGCGTAGTTGTTTACATAATTCACAGTATTTTGTTTTTCATCTTTTTGGACCTTTTTATTTGTTCTGATAGCGTCGGTATTGAAATTTGAAATCAAAAAAGATAAGCTTTAAGCAACTAGAGATCTAATGGAACATCACATAATATTTTGTAATAACCAGCTTACCAGTCGTGGTAAGTCAGAGCATGATGTAAATTACACACAAAGCAAACCGGGTTTGATACCCGCCGGCATCAATAAAATATTTAATTTGAATTTTAAGTGATGATTTACCGCATGCTCGGCATTGGAGAAAAACATCATGGAGAAACCTCCTCCGAAGTTCGTCAACGCGTACTAAAGCATCGCGGCAGACTAAATGTTCTGTAACTTTTTAGAAATGAGAGGAGGCCTGTGCTAAGCAGTGCGTTGTGTAGGTTGTAACTTTAAACAATTTAAAGCAACTATTAATATCTAGAATATGTCATCTTGGTCAAATTTTGATCAGATATACTCGTATGACAACTTAATAGTGGCTTAGAGTTTAATTGCAGCGTCCCGTTTTATGAATTAAATTCACGCACGGGACATTTAGTAACGATAATATTGTTGGCACAAATAACATGTAAAATGCCTCTATGACAGAAATATTCGAATACATTTAAAAATAACAAACAATCAAGGTACAATTACTTACAGGATTCCAGTCTGCTAAGTCTTCAAAAGAACCTTTCCTGCCCATGAGTTTCCTATAAACAACCATAGGAAAATTCACCGCCAATATAATGTTGTTGTATATCGCCAAGCCAAGAACTATGCCGATTAATGTAAATTGCGCCTCAGTTTCGAACGATGTAGGGTTGAACCTGAAAATTTATTTACAGGTTAACCGTGGGGTACATTGTTTTAATTTATTTGCAATCACTACACTAACCACGAGCATTTTGTGCATTGTTGGTGAGCACAGGGCTAATACGTAGGGTATTGTAATGATGCACCCCATCACCATTCTGTGGGTGCTAGCAATACCAGACATCTCTAACACAAATTTTACGCCGCTGGTCTGACAAATTTACGTATCCCTTAGGCCCCATGCGGGTGTCATAAGAACACACTGATGGGGTTACGCTTACGCTGCCACTACACAAAAGTAAAATATTATCTAAAAAAAAACAAATTTTATATTTGAACTCCAATCAAAATTAAGACCTACAACTAGTATTAGAGAAAATGCTGACCATGAAAGAGGCGGTGTATCTATCGCAATAGTATATGTAAACTAACCAAACAGTGTGTGAGTCAACTTGCTGAGTGAACATCCCATAATCTGGGTTGAAAATTTCTTCCACAATGAGCTGGAAGAACTCCTTGCTGACACCACCTTCGTCCACGCCTTGCTCGCCTTCAAACTCCACCACAAGCTGCTTTTTAAGGTCTAACGCCCTCTCCATTGCTACCATTTCTAACTGAAAGTGAAAAGCGATTGATAACATTGAGTAGGAGTAAATGAATATGACTCAAATTATTTTTATAGTACAAGTAAGTAATGCACACAGTTTACCTAATGGTAAGTGAATGCTGTAAGCTCATAGACACCCAATTCTATCATTGATTAAGAATCATAATGCAGATGCATTGTCACCTCTAAGGACTGAGAAGAAATGCATTGTTACCTATAGAAAGAGTCTGCGATTCGTCTGTCATCATACACAATGCTGATAAAATTATTACAATATCACAATCTTTAACCATCGTTACAATAGTCGCCTACCTAAATGTTCATGTAATGTTGGTATAAACGTAATGTAACGTTGTAGCCTGTTTACGTCCCACTGCTGGACACTGGCCTCCTCTCATTTCTGAAAGGGTTTTAGGGCAAGGAAATATCCGCTGCGCTGCCATAATGCATGTTGGCGAATTTCACATGTCTTCGAAATATTTTTTTTCTTATTTCTCAGACATGCCGGTTTCCTCACGATGTTTTCCTTCACCGCCGAGAACGTGGTAAATCAGCACATAATTTAAACCTTTTAATAGAAAAGGTCTGCATATTTTCTGGGACTTTGTTGTAAAAGCGTATACATTGCCCCATGAAGGAATTACTGACCCCTTGGAGTCGAGTAACTGGTATAACTAACTTGTGATTGTTCCTAGTATTTACAGAATGTACACCACTATTTTTAATAAAACTATTTTTGTTTTTGTGTAGATACAATAAGTTCTCGTAAATATATTGAGAGGCCAAAGTTAATATATTTATTTCTTTAAAAATTTTCTAAGGGATTCCTTTGGACCTAGGTTATAAATTGCTCTTATAGCTCTCTTTTGCAAAACAAAGATAGTTTCAATGTCAGTCGCATTACCCCATAGCAAGATTTCATATGACATTATGCTGTGGAAATAACTAAAATAAACTAATCTAGCTGTTTCAACACATTTAAGGCATCTAATCTTTTTTACAGCATATGCAGCAGAACTAAGTTTGCTAGCTAGTTTAGATATATGGGGGTCCCATTGAAGCTTCGCGTCAACTGTAATACCGAGAAAAACAGTGGATCCAACAAGACCCAGCTCCTCCCCACTTAAAAGTACACTGGTATTCACCTTTTTAACATTAGGTGTAGTGAATTTAATACATTTCGTTTTATTACCGTTCAAAAGCAAATTATTGACGTTAAACCAGTGTACTACTTTTGATATAGCATTATTCACTTTAACATACTTCAATAATTGCCTTTTTAGTCGGAGAATCAACAAAGTATCATCAGCAAATAATACTATATCATGGTTATTCCCTATCTTGATAATTTATATTTTATTAATATAAATTAAGAACAGAATGGGACCACGAATTGAGTCCTGAGGAACACCCCTAGATGCTACCGATCCGGAAGAACTGCATACATTAATAACAACTGTTTCCGTTCTATCATTAAGATATAACATAATAAGTTTCAGCGCTATGTTTTTTACACCATAATGATGTAGCTTCCTGATTAATGTCTCATGGTGAACACAGTCGAAAGCCTTGGAAAGATCATAAAATATACTCAAAGCATGTTCTGAATTTTCCCATGCACAGAAAATATGTTTGATTAGCTCAACACCGGCATCAGTTGTCGAGCGACCTCATGTAAATCCAAACTGAGTGTTATGTAGTACTTTATTTACATTAAAAAAAAAAACTTAACATTTGACCTAGAATAATTTTTTCAGAAATTTTACTGAGCGTTGGCAGTACAGAAATGTTGGTCTAATATTAGTGGGGTCCAATGTACTGCCAGATTTAAATAAAGGTACAATTACTAAGTTTCATTAAATCAGGAAACACCAGATTCGATACTAGCATTGAAAATAATAGCAAGTTGGGGTGTGATCGCATCTATTATAGACGCAATAACTTTAACAGAAATCCCCCATAGATCTGCAGTTTTCTTAATATCAATAGTTTTGATATATTTTACAATATCACCTGATAATATTCTATGAAATGCAAAATCTACTTTACCGCCATTTACATTTTGTTTGAGTAATGACTCGGTGACAGCAGGGGAGGAATTGAGTGACTTTGTAGTCAAGATCGGAATGTCGGTAAAATATTGTTCAAAAGCCGTTGCTCTGATTATTGTTAAAATTAAATTGAAAGTTTGAATTTAGTAGTTTCATCTTGTCAGTTTCACTATTGATTATACTCAACTATAAGGGATTTTATGTTATTCCGTCGTGTCTCCTGCTAGTGTATCTTAATATTTCACAAGGCTCTTAAACCACGGGAATATCTATAGTGACAAGAGCTCTTTGGATAACATATCAGAGAACCGTACTTGAAAACCTACGAGCACTTTTTTTACATACCCAGGAGCCCAAACTAGTCGACGCTGCTACTGCAAGAGGACTGATGACGTCAATAGATCGACGCTCCTAGTCGGATCTCCCCGCTCCGTATTGCATACATACTTATCAGTTCCACACGAACAAACGAACAAGCGTGAAAACAGTCAGTACGGTAGTTCAGCTGCATCACCACCCACCACCACCACCGCGTGCAGCAGCGACACGCGCCGCTCCGAGTACATGCGGATGCGGTTCTGTAGTGCAGCTGCAGCGTACTGCAGCGTACTGCAGCGTACTGCAGCGTACCTCGACGAGCGCGTCGTGTATGATGTGGTGGCGGCGCACGGTGAGGCGCAGGAAGGGCGCGGGCGGCGCGGCGCCCACCACCGCGTGCAGCAGCGACACGCGCCGCTCCGAGTACATGCGGATGCGGTTCTGTAGTGCAGCTGCAGCGTACTGCAGCGTACTGCAGCGTACCTCGACGAGCGCGTCGTGTATGATGTGGTGGCGGCGCACGGTGAGGCGCAGGAAGGGCGCGGGCGGCGCGGCGCCCACCACCGCGTGCAGCAGCGACACGCGCCGCTCCGAGTACATGCGGATGCGGTTCTGTAGTGCAGCTGCAGCGTACTGCAGCGTACTGCAGCGTACTGCAGCGTACCTCGACGAGCGCGTCGTGTATGATGTGGTGGCGGCGCACGGTGAGGCGCAGGAAGGGCGCGGGCGGCGCGGCGCCCACCACCGCGTGCAGCAGCGACACGCGCCGCTCCGAGTACATGCGGATGCGGTTCTGTAGTGCAGCTGCAGCGTACTGCAGCGTACTGCAGCGTACTGCAGCGTACCTCGACGAGCGCGTCGTGTATGATGTGGTGGCGGCGCACGGTGAGGCGCAGGAAGGGCGCGGGCGGCGCGGCGCCCACCACCGCGTGCAGCAGCGACACGCGCCGCTCCGAGTACATGCGGATGCGGTTCTGTAGTGCAGCTGCAGCGTACTGCAGCGTACTGCAGCGTACTGCAGCGTACCTCGACGAGCGCGTCGTGTATGATGTGGTGGCGGCGCACGGTGAGGCGCAGGAAGGGCGCGGGCGGCGCGGCGCCCACCACCGCGTGCAGCAGCGACACGCGCCGCTCCGAGTACATGCGGATGCGGTTCTGTAGTGCAGCTGCAGCGTACTGCAGCGTACTGCAGCGTACCTCGACGAGCGCGTCGTGTATGATGTGGTGGCGGCGCACGGTGAGGCGCAGGAAGGGCGCGGGCGGCGCGGCGCCCACCACCGCGTGCAGCAGCGACACGCGCCGCTCCGAGTACATGCGGATGCGGTTCTGTAGTGCAGCTGCAGCGTACTGCAGCGTACTGCAGCGTACCTCGACGAGCGCGTCGTGTATGATGTGGTGGCGGCGCACGGTGAGGCGCAGGAAGGGCGCGGGCGGCGCGGCGCCCACCACCGCGTGCAGCAGCGACACGCGCCGCTCCGAGTACATGCGGATGCGGTTCTGTAGTGCAGCTGCAGCGTACTGCAGCGTACTGCAGCGTACCTCGACGAGCGCGTCGTGTATGATGTGGTGGCGGCGCACGGTGAGGCGCAGGAAGGGCGCGGGCGGCGCGGCGCCCACCACCGCGTGCAGCAGCGACACGCGCCGCTCCGAGTACATGCGGATGCGGTTCTGTAGTGCAGCTGCAGCGTACTGCAGCGTACTGCAGCGTACTGCAGCGTACCTCGACGAGCGCGTCGTGTATGATGTGGTGGCGGCGCACGGTGAGGCGCAGGAAGGGCGCGGGCGGCGCGGCGCCCACCACCGCGTGCAGCAGCGACACGCGCCGCTCCGAGTACATGCGGATGCGGTTCTCGTAGTACAGCCCCAGCGACTTGCTCGCCGCCGTCAGGATGAACGGGTACCGCAGGAACGCAAACTTCTTACCTGCGCCGATATTATAATTTCTTACGTATAAGAGACAAACAAGCGCAAATATAAAATGAAATCACATGACAAAAAATTGTAGTTATTCTATTTCACGATGAAGGTTTCGCCTTGATTGTAGTAGTGACGAGTACCGACAGGCGCGTTTGTGTGTGTGTAACTGCGATTCGTTCGACTCGCAATCGTGACTGAGCGCTTCCAAAGCCTACGCACACTAACACAATGTGTATGTGCACGGCTAACAACAACCAATGTCAAACCTTCATCGTGATGTAGAATAACTATAACAATTGGTACCTCTGAGCCAATTTGGTAGTCGACATCATGAATGCATAGGCTACGAATTGCGAGCCAATCGACTAGGTGTGTCACCAAAAATTTTGAAAGAAGTGATATTATAATATATATATGATAAGCAATGAACACTATAAAAGATATTTATAATAACAAAAAAGTACTGGCCACTAAAATGTTTTCGATATCAAATTGTTCGTCATTTATTCTAGATGCATTCCAAATTTAAATAAAAGTAAAAATAAAATGTGCTGGCTGTAAGAATTAAGTTGAAGTCGGATCAGAGTTTTTTGAAAACCGCTATTTAAACATCTTTACCCACGACGGAACAGAGAAGTTGTACGCGTTTAGTGTGAGCGGTTGTTTGTTTGTGTGTGCAAAAGGAAGTTTCCCATTTATCTCTAAAACAGTTCGACCGATTCAGATACGGTTTCCTGTTGTGGTTTGTGATTCATAGGCAATGGTTCTTAGATAGGTATTATGGTGTTAACTCGCCAGGGGGCGCAGCATTAAACGTATTTGTGCAAACAAATGTTCCTATTTATTTACACACGATGGAACGGAGTTGTATGCGTTTAGAATGGGAGGTTGTTTGTTTGTGTGTGCAAACCAATGTTGCCATTTATCTCCAAAACACTTTGGTCGATGTAAATACGGTTTTCTGTGAAGGGTTTGTGATTCATCGGCAATGGTTTTTAGATTGGTGTTATGGTGTTAACTCGCCAGGGGGCGCTACAATAAACATATTTATGCAAACGAATGTTCCCATTTATCTCCAAAACGGTTTGACCTATTTAGTTACCGTTTTCTGTAAAGGGATTGTGATTCATCGGCGATGATTCTTAGATGTGTTATGGTATTTTTCCTCGAAAAAGCGTGACCGATCTAGATGCGCTATCGATATCACATAGCACCTTTGGGTCACTATGTTAATGCCATGATAACAGATCAAGATCAAAGGCAGCATTGTGGCCTTTCTTTGACTTTTTAGATTTGTGACCCGCGCAACGTGCTTTTCAATCGCTCTAACTCTCCAACGCTATGTTAACTTCCTTTTGCGTAGCATTGAAAGGAAGTTAATGGTTTTAGCTGGCAATCTGTTAGTCTGTATGCCGACACGATAACTTCCGTTCCACTGGACCGATGGACTTTAAATTTGGTATGTGGATACCTTGAGGTAGTAGCTCGGTCGAGTTTAAATTTGGATCCTGTAGGTCAAAGGGCACCAAAGATATGGGATTCACGCAGAAGGAAGTTGTTTTTCTTGAATTTACATTCAACTCGTTATGTGGATTATTGAAGTTTTCTTTGAATTAAATCAGTTACTACTACGCCATCTACAGATCGTACTCTACTAAGCGTACGAGTAACATAAGCTTGCCCTTTGGCGAATGTTTGGGTCCAAGATGTAAGACGGCCTTATCGACTGCATTGCCTTTCAATTTATGCACTGTAACCTAATATGAGTGGAATCATTATCCTTTCTATTTTGCCAGCAGCTTTGTTGTCTTGAGATGATACACACATTGGAGTTATGCCTATCGAACCATTTTCATCATGGTAACTTCTGCTGATAAGGTGGTCATGAAACTTAAGGTCATCTTGCAACTGGTCGCTTCTTAAGCCTTGTCACTGAGAACCCCGAAATACTCCCATGCTGCCATCGACTAATGCTCCGCTGACTTTGTAACCTTGATCATTCTTAACATCACTTAACATCAATGAATAATTAATTAATATACCTACAATAAATTACAATATGTTGTATTATATTGGAATCAAATACATACTAGAAATATTGCAAATTGAATCAATGAAAATCATACAAAAATATAATATAAATCGCAAGAAATTCCGCGCGGAAATCCTATCCCTTGACAATCGAGTTTAAATTTTATTACAGTCAAACAAGACAAGGAAGTTTGGCATCGCTTTTTGTTCGTTACTTAGTTCTTCGTTAGTTCAAGGTTAGGAAGTTCGGCATCGTTGCATAATATCTATCTACGAATAATGGTATTCGTTGCACAACAATATCGTCTGCACGCCATCTAGCGTGCCAATGTTTAAACTATGTTTTTGGCGCTTTTGCTTGTCAAGTTGTCAAAATTCACTCTTCCCTACTAAAGAAGTGTAAAAATTTTCCTAGATGTCACTATTCTTTTTCTTAATAAATACTGTAATTTATTTCCTAATAAGGTCAATCGCGAGCACATTTCAGTGTAGAAAAGTGATAAAATTATTAGTTTTAAGCAAATAGTGTCTGTGTTTAACGTATATGTCAAAACAAAAATGTATAGCGGGGGTATTGGAGCTCCCCTTTAAAAGGTTTTTACTTTATTTTTTAATTTCAAAATTAAACTATCATGTTGTAGTTTTCACAATTGCGTTTGTTTTCTACTAATAAAATATTGACATACTCTTTGAAATTCATGTCATCATCATCATCATTACAGCCCTTCACAAGTCCACTGCTGAACATAGGCCTCCCCCAAAGAATGCCACAAAGCACAGTCCTGAGCCACCTGCATCCATCGACTTCCTGCATGTCTTACCAGGTCGTCACTCCATCTCGTGGGGGGACGCCCTACACTTCGCCTACCGGTACGAGGCTGCCACTCGAGAACCTTTTTTCCCCATCGGTTGTCGGTTCTTCGAGCTATATGGCGGGCCCACTGCCACTTCAGCTTACTAATCCGTTGGGCTATGTCGGTTACTCTGGTTCTACTGCGGATATCCTCATTCCTAAGTTTATCACGCAGAGAAACTCCGAGCATAGCCCTCTCCATAGCTGGCTCAGCGACCTTGAGCTTCCTCATACGGCCAGCAGTGAAGGATCACGTCTCAGTACCGTAAGTCATCACTGGCAACACGCACTGGTTGTACAATTTCGTTTTAAGGTTTTGAGGTATGTCTGACGAGAAGATGTGTCGTAGCTTCCCAGCCGAGTTGAATCCGTCGATTGACCTCTCGGTCGAAGTTGGACTTACCTAGTCGGACTATTTGTCCCAGGTAAACATACTCGTCAACAACTTCGAGCTTAGTGCTCCCAACAACTACCGGCATAGGTGTGACATGGACATTAAACATGATCTTTGTTTTGTCCATGTTCATCTTAAGATCTATCCGTTGGGAAACACTATTGAGGTCATTGAGCATAGTGCTTGGGTACTCCAGCGATTCTGCCATAAGGACTATATCGTCGGCAAATCGAAGGTGAGTGATGTACTCGCCATTGATGTTGTTACCGTATCCTTTCCAGTCCAGAAGCTTGAAAACGTCTTCCAATGCAGCGGTGAAGAGTTTCGGGGATATGACGTCACCCTGTCTTACACCTCTCTGCAATTGGATAGGTTTCGTACTCTGGTTCTGTACTCGGATAGCCATCGTAGCCCTACTGTACAAACACTTCAACACTTCGATATACCGACAGTCAACTTGGCACCGCTGAAGTTGCAGCACCGCCCAAATTTCGACGGAATCAAAGGCTTTCTCATAGTCCACATACGCCAGACATAGTGGCAAATTGTACTCTTCGGACTTCTGTACAATTTGCCGAAGGGTATGTATGTGGTCTATGGTGCTAAAGCCCTTTCGAAAACCGGCTTGTTCGGGAGGCTGGAAGTCGTCAAGTCTGCGCGCGAGACGATTCGTAATGACTCTCGAAAATAGCACGTAGACGCGGCTCAGAAGGGAAATCGTAATCTGTAGTTCTTCAAGAGAGCGTTATCACTTTTCTTGAAAAACAAGACCACCGCACTTCTGCTCCACGCCTCCGGTGTAATGCCACCATGGAGGACGGAATTAAAGAGCTTCTGAAGGACTTCAAGTTTTTTTTTTATAGAAGAGGGGGCAAACGAGCATGCGGCTCATCTGATGGTAAGTGACTACCGCCGCCCATGGACAACTGCAACACCAAGGGAATTGTAGATGCGTTGCCGGCCTTTTAGAAAGGTGTAAGCTCTTTTCTTGAAGGTTCCTAAGTCGTATCGGTCCGGAAAATTCGCTGGTGGTAATTGATTCCTCAAGGAAGTTGTGCGAGGGAGAAAACTTCTTCTAAATCGCACAGTGCTGGACCGCCAATCATCCAGATGGTATGGATGGTAACACAAGTTTTGTCGCGATGTGTGATGGTGAAATTGAGCGGCTGGAATTAGTCCGAACAATTCCTCAGAGCACTCCCCGTGATAGATGCGATAAAATACGCAAAGAGATGCCACATCTCTACGCAGTGCCAGTGTATCGAGCCGATCAGAAAGAACTCGGTCGTCGACGATTCGAACGGCTCTGCGCTGGATGCGGTCAAGTGGAAGGAGCTGGCACTGGGGTGCCCCGGCCCAGAGATGAGAACAGTATTCGATGTGGGGCCGAACTTGCGCTTTGTAAAGTTGCAAGCGATGTGCCGGCATGAAATACTGTCTCGCTGTGCTGAGCACGCCAAGCTTTTTAGAGGCCAATTTGGCCTTCCCTTCCAAGTGACCACGAAACTGCACACTATTCGATATGTCGACGCCAAGGATTCCGATACTAGCTGAGGCAGCAAGGGGAGTGCCTTGAAACTCAGGAGATACGACAAAGGGGTTCTTTTTAGCGGTAAACGCGCAACCTTTGTCTTCTGGGGATTGAACTGGACTAGATTTAGTCAGCCCCAATCCGAGACTTTGTTAAGCAAAGACTCGACTTCAGACACAAGTTTGTCCCGGTACTCAGCGACGTTTTCCCGAGAAATATTGGCACGGCCGGTATATAAGGCATCACCAGTGCTGTCGTCCGCATAGCAATGAATGCTACCAGTTAGCAACATATCATTGATATGCAGGAGAAACAGCGTTGGTGATAGCACGCAGCCTTGTGGAACACCAGCGTTAATAGGCTTGAAATCAGAGCATGCACCGTCTACTACGACCTTGATACTCCGATCAGCAAGAAAACTGGTGATCCATTTGCACAATTTCTCGGGGAGCCCATAGGAAGGAAGCTTCGAAAGAAGCGCTTTGTGCCAGACCCGATCGAAGGCCTTCGCTATGTCCAAACTAACGGCCAATACCAAAGTACCGGTCTTCCACCCGCTTTCAGAAGCTCCGCTGTAATTCCATCCTCGCCTGGGGCCTTACCGTTTTTAAGTGAGCAATTCTAATCTCGCTCAGACTGACGTCCGGGATATCTTCGGAATAGTGTCGGATGAGACTCGCTCTTGGATCGTTACTCACACTTGCGTGTGGCTCCAACGATGACGTGTACAGCTGCCCTTAGAACCTCTCAATCTCACTCAAAATCTCAGGTGTCCCGGAAACGATGCTGCCACATTCTGTCTTGTGCTTTGACAGTTGGCTCTTTCTGGCAGACAGGTCTCTGGCAAAGACTTTGGAGCCTTGGTTCCGCTCGATCGCTTCTTCAATACGAGCTGTATTGAAGTTGCGTAAGTCCCGCCGCATGCATTTGGAGATCTGTCTGTTCAGATGCCTGTATGCTGTCAAGTCTGTTGAAGAATGTAGCTTCATCTCCCGTCTATCAGCCATGAGATTAAGAGTGTGATCGGAGAGGTTTTGTGTTCTTCTGTGGCGGGTCTTGCAGACCCGCAGCTCCGACCGCATGGACAGTTTCCACGAGCTTGTCATTCATATCGTCCACTTCATTACAGTCTTCTAGGCACTGAAAACTGTTTTGTAACTCGAGCTGAAAGGTTTCGGGACTTTGGAACAGAGCACGGAGCGTTGACTTCATTAGACGAGCCCTCTCCAACTTAACGTTTAGGTTCAGTGTGCTTCTAACCATTCGGTGATCGCTACCAGTTTTCACCCTCGCGATAACGGAGACATCACTGAACAGTTGTCGTCTGGTCGTCATAATGAAGTCAATCTCATTTTTTCTTGAACCGTCGGTGCTCGACCAGGTCCACTTCCTGTGGGGCCGCTTCTGGAAGAAAGAGTTCATCATAAAGAGTCCCTCTTTCTCCATGAAGTCGGCCACCTGCTGGCCCCTTGGGTTCCGTTGCCCTATTCCAAATTTCCCTACTTTCAGCTCACCGTTCTCTCTTGTGCCTAGTTTTGCATTGAAGTCTCCCATTAACACCGTATATTGGGTTTTGGAGGAATGCATGGCTTTAGAGATATCCTCATACATTTCCTCCACCTCCTCATCGGGGTATGCCGAGGTTGGTGCGTAAACCTGTATGACCTTCAGCGAATACCGTTTGGTGATTCTGAGTATAAGGTACGCAACCCTCGTCGACACACTCCCGATCTTTACAACGTTGTTAACGAGACTTGTGGACGATAAATCCGACACCTCCTTGGGACAGATGGTCGCCCTCCCGGTGATAGAGCAAGTTACCGGATTCGAGGATTACCGTGTCCTCCCCCTCTCTTCGGACTTCGGATAATCCTATAATATGCCAGCGCAACTTGTCTATCTCTTCTTCCAGCTCCACGATCTTCTCGTCACTCCTCAGGGTGCGTGCGTTTTACGTTGCCAGGTCAAATCGTCTAAGGTGGCAACCGAACCTCCACCGGAGATTCTTAGCACCGCCTGCCCCGTCGTTACCATGGTCGCCACCGTAGCCAGGAATAGCGGGGCCGCCGGGGACTGGGGGCCGTCTGTTTGTTGCTTTAATCATTGGGGGGTAATTGCCATAGTTGCCACGCTTGGCGAGCGGGTTGGCAACCGCAGTTTTTTTTATTGTAATTTTGGCTATTATCAGGAAGATGCTGCTGCCAATCTCCTGCCTGTTTCCCTTTGTCGCCTTTTACGACACACACGGGAGGATATGGGGTAGTGGATATTCTTGACCGCCACTACACGGCACTGAAATTCATGTGTTGTTATAATATCCCTATACTGTGTTGATGTGTTTAGATAAGTGACTATTGTATATACAATTAACATACATGTTCTCCTAATTCAATTTATTATATTTTTCAAAGTTTTATGATATGATTATCATATTTACTCACCATTAGTAATATCAGTTTTATAGCTAGCAAAGTCTATATCCATTTCTATAGTATCACTAAGAGGTTCATTGTAGAATTCCTCAAATGGCAGGTATGGCTTCCTAGCATCTAATACATTTATATCTAATTCAATGGCTGAAACCAAAGAAAAGTACAATATGAAAACAAAATTAATAGAATGATGATGTCTTATGTTTATGCAAATACTACACACTGAATAGTATGAATGCTTCAAAAAAAGCCCCGTCTAAGCATTAATATGTCCCGTCTTTGCATAATAATAATGTCCTCCACACCGAATGTCGGTACAGTGGTAAATCTCTATAGTGACTAGCCATCTGCACAGGACAGGGAAGGAGTGCGTGCGCAAGCACAGCGTAAACTCTCTGTTCTCTCACTCCCATTGTCCGATGGGATAGCAATATAACTGGAGAGAGTTTAGGCGTTGGACCAACGGTTGTATGAGTTTATAGAGGCACGGGAGTGAAATACCGCCAACTTCCTGACTGTGGACTGCTACTGAGAATTTCTTTAAGAAAAACCCAAGAGGATTTTTGTTCGATTCAACCCAACAAAACTTTGGTGGATTCAATAATTTGTTGAATCCACCAAACTTTATGATAATAATAGTGAGCCATTTAGCACTTGACAGAAGGCGGGAAAATCCTATATAGTTGTATATTTATATCCAGTTGTAAAATTGGAATCTAGTCAGAAGAAAACGGGCAATGTGTATTGTACTGTGATTGCTAAACCATCTATCATTGTTGCGTTTTACGTAAAACCCACCCTTAAAAAGAGCCCCATTATTATATTATTATTTCTATATAAAGAAAATTATATACCTAAAGGATCTTCTGGTTGCGACTGCTTAGAGTTCTTCATGGAGGAAAGTGGCAAGAAATCATACAAGGCATCGCCTAATGGATCCAGCTGGTTCGCTATCACTATAGGCTCTTCTTGTTGAGAGTTATGTTCCACTATGCCGGCTAACATGTTCGCGTAGTATAGTATCTGCAGAAAGGTATTTTAAATGTTTATTTTGGAATAAGTAATGAATATACAGGTTTTGTGGCTGACCATACAATAACTGCGTCATTACTATGTGTTAAATTATTTTAAAGTACTTAATCAAATTAAAAAAGGTAAATTTTCAAACAATATAAATATATTATTTTAAATCAATTATAACATCAATATACAGGGTAAAATGTTAAGAGTGAAAACATCGATTTCTTTGTTTTATAGGCATATCTTATCCTTACCCCTATCTACCTTTGACTGATGAAAAGTTATTTATTTACAATTGATTAAGTTTTTACAAGGTTTAAGTTTTTTACTCTAGGTTTTTACAATATGATATGATGAAAATATGCCAAATAGAGTATGTATACACTTAATACTTTGTTGTATAAAAGTTGAAGTAGAGGATAAGTAGAGGGATTCCACAACATTTTATGCCACCAGGGCGGCGCCACTTAGGAATGAGGTGAAATATTTGACAGATTTCATAAAAGGAAAGCTAAATCGTTAATAAAGGTTAATGTTTCTTTCTGAAATATTTCTTATATTTTACATTAATTAGATTAGAAATGCATAAACCAAGAAATCATCATCATCATCATCATCAGCCTACGGCAGTCCACTGCTGGACATAGGCTCCCAAGTCGCGCCACTTAGTCCCATTTTCGGCTAATTAAATTAAGCAATGGATATTCCTAAAAGTATGTGAAAAAACAAATAAATCAACCACCGAGACATTGTTTTGCGTAGTACCTACAGTAAATACCGAAAAACTTTTATTTGAAACATAATTTTACACTTATGGTTACCTTGTGTAACAAATAACTTCACCTCAATCATAAAGCGACGTCTAGTGAGCGGAAAAATATTAGCCCTCACTGTAATGTCAGGAATATCGATTACATTCAACAGAGAGGAGCTTGCCTTAGGAATTGATCAAAAGGTAAATCTAGATTTTGTAAACATTGATTACCTTCATAAGCTTTGTTGCCCTTGTCACGCTCTCATCATCTTGGACTTGATAATGCCTTGTATAGTTAGTGGATATGATTCTGAGAGTTATGAGCTGTTGCAATGTGTCTAGGATGTGGCGTAAACTCTCTTTGCAATGTTGTGCCCACACCCGTGCCAGTCTAGCTTGAGCTGAAATAAAACAATTAGGAATATAATGATTTTAAGAAATAAATATAAGTATTTACGCGAATACTACACATGGAATAAAACTAATTATACGGATTTTAACTTTTTAAATTCCCGAAGTTTTGGGCACTTTTCAACACCCATGGTCACCATGGTCACGGGAGGGGGGGGGGGGGGGGGGTCTGAGGTGAAATCAGCTGTACAAAATTAAACATTTTGTACAGCTGATTTCAATATAAGTTATTAAGAATAACTCAAAAACTATTAGTTTGACCTTGATCAAATTTGACCACACGAGAAGCACCAAAAAGAAATCATCGAAATCGGTTCACCCAGTAAAAAGTTATAAGGTAACACACAAAAACATACAGTCGAATTGAGTACCGTCTCCTTTTTGGAAGTCGGCAGAAAATTAAACACAATAAAATCCGTAAAATTTGTTTTATTCCAGGAATAGTAAATTTTTACGTCCGTTATGAATCATGTACATATCGTTATATTAATACCATTTCATAATAACGCAGGTTTGCATAAGTATTATATAATAATCTATATTGAACAAAAATTATTCTATTGTGGCAGCGCTGTCGTCGCGCCACAAGCGAAACACATCGAAGCCTATATCGCGCTAACAAAGAACTAAAACTAAAGCAGTATATTATATAGAATTCCACCGAACTACCACTCGGTTTTCCTGAGCAGGTTTTTTTTTGAGCAGGTGTTTAACCCTTTTAGCTATTATCTTCAACGCCTGTTTCAACCTTAGTTACTTTCCCACCACGTGGAAAGAGGCAACTGTCATTGGTATCCCCAAGCCAGGAAAGCCTCACAACCGCCCCTCCAGTCATCGTCCCATCAGCCTCCTCAAGGCCATGAGCAAACTCTTCGAACGAGTCATCCTTACACGCATGAGGCTCCATCTGTTTCCCACAGACGGCGACCCTCTTGTCATCCCCCGCCAATTTAGTTTCCGAGCGAAACATTCTTGTCCCCAACAAGTTCACCGTATTGTGGAATATATCCTCAGAGGTTTCTATCCTCGTCGTCATAAGACTATCGCGGTCGTTTTCGACATAGCAAAGTCATTCGATAGAGTCTGGCACGAAGACCTTATATATAAACTCTATAAGGTCGCGTACACGTACGTAGCAAACTACGCGCCGCTGTCGTCAGCGTCGTAGGGAGGGGCTATATAGAACACAACGTACATTAGTACGCGCGACCGACGTACGCGACCGACGTCAGCGTAGGAGGAATTCAGGCCTAAAATAGGTCTCCCTGATCGTCTTGTTCGTCTCGTGGACTCCTACCTGAAGGATCGTACCTTTCGTTTTAAACACGAAGGCACGCTCTCCTCTCAACGCCCTATCAAAGCAGGTGTCCCTCACGGCTCAGTGCTTGCCCCTCTGCTGTATATCCTGTTCACCAACGACATTCCCATCCCGTCAAATGGTGTTGTTCAGCTCTCCCTTTTTGCAGACGACACTGCCCTCTACTGTAAAGGTATCTCACTACCTTTCATACGGAACAAGATCCAAAAGTCAATTAATGACCTAGGAGCTTGGTTCCAAAAATGGCGTATCGATGTGTACCCGGAAACGAGCTCCGCCGTTTACTGCGATCATAAACGACACCGCCTCATTCCGCCAATCAAAAAACGTATATAATGTTTTGGCATATTGGATCAGCGCTAGATATTCGAGGAGCTGGGATATCATTTCTACGTAATGATTGTTTGTGCTCTTCTTCTTTATCGCTTTATTTATTTTTGTATTTATTGTTTCAGTATGAAAGGTTTATTTCAAATTAGCAATATATCCGTCATAGGCTTCTCTCCTTCGTTCACCTATTACACACCTTTTTTCCTCGCGGTATAAGTCAGCCGGTGGAAATATCATATAAATTTGGAAGTGTTATATTGTTGATTTAGAAATGATAATATATTCATTGAAATTGAATCACTATTATCATTTTTTTTATAGAATTAGGGTGACAAACGAGCACACAGTCCACCTGATGGTAAGTGGTTGCTGTGGCCCATAGACATCTACATCTATCATCGATTACGAGTCCAAATGCAGATGCGTTGTCACCCGTGACAGGCCTCTGTCACTCTTGCTACCTGCGTGAAATAAATACCTACAATCGCGAGCTGCCCCAGGGGTAGGTGGTGTCGGGGCTAGCGCGTTCTATACGATTGAATGTAAATTTTTTTTTAACGCTGTTTACGTAAATATTTTTTTGTAAATTGTACTTGTTGAAATACTCGTCGATATAGTTTTTGTTTAGTGTTTAGTATATTTAATTGTAGGATAAAATACTTGAATTTTTTTAATGTAATTTAAGAATAATATATATGTATGTACACTCAGCGGCACGGAATCTTGGCCAAGCGGTTATCTCGCGATAGCAAAAGCTTTAAGTGTTTCTGATGAATGTTTGTTATGCAGGTATGTCAAAAAATGTTTGCTCTCAAGTTCAAGAGGGTAATTCATTATGTTTAAGTGCACCATGACGAATTCTTTAATTTTTAGTTGAATCGGGTCATTTGAGCGACTAAGTTCACATTTTAAATTTGTGTGTTGTGAAAAGTTTACTGTAAGGTTATTCAATTATTTTGATCTTGTGTCTTAATTCAATAACTAAAGGTGCTTTAAAGCCAATAAAAATGCCATTAACACCAGCACAAGTTGCACAAGCAGTAGCATTAATTGACCAAGGGCTGACACAGCGTGAAGTTGCTATTGTGCTTAACGTACCACGGTCCTCAATGCAGTGTTCACTGAAACGATACCAGGAGACAGGACGCTACACCCGCAGGCCAGGCAGTGGGGGCGTAAGGTGCACATCGGCCCGGGACGATCGTTTTATTGTTATGGAGATTTTGAGAAACCGCTACCTGACCGCTGTTGAGATACGCCAGCGGCTCCAAATCGCAAGAGGCGTTAATGTTAGTGAGCGTACGGTGAGAAGACGAATGGAGGAAGTGAATTTAAAAGCTCGTAGACCAACACGAGGTCCAGAACTTCTCAGACAGCACCGAGTAGCCCGACTTCAGTTCGCAAGAGAACATGTCAATTGGACCCACGAGCAATGGGCTAGAGTGTTGTTCACAGATGAGTGTCGAATAGCTTTACGTGCTCCAGACGGTCGAGAACGAGTGTGGAGAAAAAGAGGAGAGAGGTTTCTACCCATTACCACCACCCAAACTGTGAGTTTCCATGGAGGCTCAATAATGGTATGGGGAGGTGTAAGTTCCGACGCACGTACAGAGTTGGTCATCGTCGATAATCGGCTTACAGCTACTCGATACATCGAGGAAGTTCTTCAGGAGCACGTAATTCCTTATTCGGGATTCATTGGACACGACCAATTCCTCCTCATGCACGATAATGCACGCCCGCACGTCGCACATTGTGTAGAGGAATATCTGGAAGAGGTTGGAATACAAAAATTACAGTGGCCAGCTCGTAGCCCGGACTTAAATCCAATTGAGCATGTATGGGGTATGTTCAAAAGAAAGATAAAGTCCAGCTCCAAACCGCCACAAACTCTAAATGAGCTCCGAAATGCAGCGCTGGCCGCTTGGGACAGCATACCGCAAGTTGATGTCAGAAACATCATTCAAAGCATGCCAGATCGAATGCAAGCGGTTATCAGGGCTAGGGGAGGAAACACCCGATATTAAAACTGATAGACAATAAAGAAACAGACTTAATTTTTAACTTTGTAGTGTTTTTAAAGTGACAATGGAAAGATGTTAATTTTAGTGAAAACATGTTATCTTGAAAAGAAAAATTTCGGTGAAGTAAACATTAAATTTCTACGTTCTAAAACCATTAGAGACACTTATTGAATGCATCTACCCTTAATTTACTGTTAAAAAAACGTTTCAGTGCAAATAATCAGCAAATTCACGAGTGGCCAAGTTTCCGTGCCGGTGAGTGTATATTATTTCCATCTATTTGATAAATTATAACAGCAAAACGTCGTTCCTACTATAATTGTTGCGGGGATGGATACTTAATGAGCAATTAAAAGGATTCAAATAATATATCATTTTTTGAGTTTCCGAAAGATAATGAAAGGTAAATTTATTTAGCGCGCAGCGATAAAGTTTTATTTAGCTTGCGTGCGCGATTTGTCTGATTAATAATAACTATGTAGGCTATTAAAACGTCGGCAAGCAGTCAACTTCAAAAGAGTGCAACTTCTGTACTTATTTATTCTGTGCCCGTGAGGACTAAGATCTTTAGATGTAAGAAGATGTAAGAAGTTTCCAGTAAAAAGGGTCTCCGGTTCTCTACACTCACCATACAAAACACAGCAGCGTTATGCTGCTATTTTACACTGGTATTCTGTGAGAGCGTGGTCCTTCCCCGGTCGAGCCGACCCATTTGTGCTACAACTATACCAGTAATATAGCTGCAGCATGGCTCTACCACATCATATAAATATGTTGTCACGATACGCGCGCAACCTACTGTAATTTAATTGTACTATGCCTATAACCTTCGCGCAAGTGCAAGCAATAAGTTGACAATTTTTAGCGCAATCTGATGGGCGATATGGCAGCGCATAAAATACGAACAAACAAAAATATTTTTTAAATATTAAATACATGTACCTATGGTTATATAGGTTAATTCGGGACACATTTTTGGTGTATTTTGTTCTACTACTAAATGGACCGCCGTCCATTTAGTAGTAGGCCAATGGTATCAGATCAGTAGTATTTTTTTAAATCTTGTGAGATTAATTGAGTATTATTTAATTTCTTTTTTTAAATATCTACCTTTAACAGGCAAATGCTCAGCAGCGAGACAGAGTGTGGGTAAAGCTATTTCCAGGTAATCACTGCAGCCAAGATCAGGCATTTCAAAGGCTATCACAAAACAATTCACCACATCCTCCATGCTCATCTTTTGATTTATCCTCAGGTCTATCATCAGGTGTTCGGCTAACGTTGTGAGCGCCGTGACTAGCGCCGAGCTGTAGTATTCTGATGGCACCTATAATAAAATTTTATCTTTGTAATTTAATCAATACATAAGTTATAACTATACTGGGAAAGAGAAGTTAACTAATTGCTCCACAAACCTCTCAGAAATGAGAAGAGGCTTGTATCAAGCATAGGAACATTATACAGGCTATATAACTAACATATTATTATAACTGCTATTTACAAGAGCGGTTCCTATGTCAAAACCAAGTATGTTATCATACAAACTTATTATTTTTTTTCTTTCCAACTTAGAAAGGATTTATTATATACATCATGTGTATCAATAACGCGACGGTTTTAACTCTCGACGATTCCGTAGCGCAGGGTCTTAGCATTGAATTGCGGGGCCTGCGGGTTCAAATTGCGCTCGGAACAAGTATTACCCGGAACAATTATTTGTATGGCCTACAAATAATTGCTCCTGGTCTAGATGTTTGTCTTAATTTATACAAACTGATTTTTTATATTTAAGCGAATACTACACATTAAATGAAACTAAAATTAAGGATTTTATCACGTTTAATTTAGACACATGGTCACAGGGGACTGATGTATTTGATGTCCTGGTGTTATAGTTAACGGAGGCTACCTTTAACTTTTAAATATTATTCTTTGGTCCGATCTACACACATTTAGCTTACAGTATCTTGAAATCTCACAGTAGTATGCTTGGTTTTAGATATAAATTGATGAATAATAGAATCCCAAGCAGACGGTAGCACCCAGCCATATTCCTTATTGAAATTAGGATGTTTTTTAATTTCAATAGCCTCGCGAATCCTTGGTTGGAATCAGTGTTCTGAAAGATTCTCCATTGAAAACTACCGAAACGACGTGAATTAAAGTTCAAATTAAACGCGATAAAATCCATAAAATTAGTTTCATGTAATTATGTGAACTGCCTTCACGATACAGCAGAAAAAACTAGCGTGAGGGTAACATTAAAAAATAAAATTACTATACCAAATTATTTAGAAATTTAATTCTTTTGATTTTTTTAGGGAGAATTTTGAGAACTTAGTGATAATGGTATTGAAGAACTTACTTTTGCAAGATACTGAAATGCTCTATGACATGACGCCACATCTAAGCCAGGTCCAGTTACACTGTCAATGTCTTTATCTGGATCACTTGTCGAACACATGGCTTTTGACTCCTTATCTGCAAATTGTATTATAGCGAGATTGAGTGTTAGCTGACTGTAACAATTCGCTATGTAAACTTTTTTAAGGTATCATTTATTATTATTATTTTATATTGATAGTTTTAAATACCGTTTTTTATTTCTAACCTGTACTAAATTTTTAATAGCTTTCAAACTTTTACTGATGACGACTTTGCGTCGTAAAGTTGATTTCGTTATTTTGACACATATGGAAAAAATCATAATGTTACATAGATGACATCTTTACGTTTCTCCTAAATCAGACATTGTTTCTCATAGAATTTGTTATAGATTTGATAATCTTAATCCAATCAAGTTGTTTAGTGTAAAAAAAGACAAAATAACTGCTATTATTTTGGCAATTAAAATAAATCCAAATTTTCAAGTAGCAAAGAAATCAAGCTATGATCAAAATCATCATCATTACAACCTTTTACAAATTCACTCCTGAACATAGGCCTCCTATAAGGAATGCTACAAAACATGGTCCTGAGTCACCTGGATCTATTAACTTCCTACATGTCTTGCCAGGTTGTCATTCCATATTGTGGGGGCCAGCTCTGCACTTTGCCGACAAGGCTGCCACTCGAGAACCTTTTAGCTTCTGTTCTGCTCAGCGTGCTAAGGAGAGGGCTAAGCTTTAAGTTACATAGCCCAATGGATCAGTAAGCTTAAGTGGCAATGGGTCAGCCATGTGGCTTACAGTCAAGATCGAATCTTAGATATTAAATGAGACTTATATTACGATCAGAAACATTGGTAATCAATAAAAATAGGCTGACATTTTTGTTCAACAAAGACTTAAAATTTTAAATTGTCTGTGTTTATTTAATAATTAAAATCAAACATACAATTAAAATATAGATATCAGCTTACTGGTCCATTGGGCTATGTCAGTTAATATGGTTCTAATGCGAATTCTATCACACAGGGAAACTCCGTGCATAGCCTGCATAGCTTGTTGAGCTACGTTAAGTTTTCCTCATATGGTGAGCAGTGAAGGACCATGCTTCAGATCCATATTAGGGCATTGCTGGCAACACACACTCCTTGTACGCTCTTGTACATTAAGTTTCGAGGAATATGTGACGAGCAGATGTCTTGTAACCTCTCGAATACTGCCCAGCTAAGTGGGATGTGTCAATTGGCTCCTGGTCAACTTTGCACTAGCCTAGTCTGATAGTTTGACCTAAGTCAGACTAGGTAAGTGCAACTTCTGCTAGCTAACTCATCAACACCTACTAGCATAATGTGTGACATGGATGTTGCAAATGACCTCTATTTATCCTATATTACGTATGTTATCTTAAGATCAGGTCAATCACAAATACTTGTCATTGTTGTGATACAAAATCTATTCTAGTCCAGTACATTGAAACATCTCCCAAAGTAGAGGTGAAGTTTTGGGGAAATAATGTCACTTCACTCTGTTCTTCTGTCCTGTCTTTCTGTTCTGTACTAGGATAGCACTGTAGTCTTAGTGTATAAAGTTTATACTACACATACTTCAGTACTTCAACTTGCACCTTGCAGTACTGAAGGGACTGTGGCACTGCCCAAATTTTGATGGAATCAAAGGCTTATTCATAGTGCTCATAAATCAATTACAAATGGTATCAAAAATTAACATTTATTGATTATTTATGTAATAATGTTTCTATTTATTCATCACACTATTACACTTATTTGAATGAAGAAAAGAAGTTATCCGCTATGTAAGTCTGTAGCAAGGGGTTTGAACAATATGTTTAGTTTTTAAACATTTTACATACCAGTTTTGTTCTCTTCTTCACATGTGGTCTTACTATCTCTCAATTTGCTCTGAAATGACCTGGCCAATATAGCAGGTTGTGTGAATGCTTCCCCGAGTGCTCTTATTAATGGCTGTGGTATTTTAGTCTGAAGGCAATCATCACAAAGCTGACACATGCGTTCCTCTGTCAAGGGTACACCATCTGATGACAATAATATTAGTTTTCATTAATATTTAAAGGGCTCCACAAAAAACATCATTAGTAATTCTTGTACAAGGTATGCATGAAATGACTCGCAAAGTAAGTGTTTCACTAAGATTATGATTTATGATACATCCAGGTTACATTTAATTCCTCAGAAACTAAAACTAAGCTAGTGCAACTTCCATAGTAAAAAATAAATATACGAAACGGGAACTAATTTTAATGGCGGCTCACTTAGCTTGGGTCAAAACAGGGTGCTACCTTTTATAGAAGCATTTCTCTGATCTCTTTCTTTCGTAATATGATATTGTCCAACTAAATATGATATATCATTTATATTTTGTTCAATAATTTAAATTGTTTTTAAATTTTCTGTGAAAGCCGTAGTATAATCAGCAGTCGCGATTTTTTTATATAAGAGGGGGCAAACGATTAGGCTATGATCAAAAGACTAACAAGGCAGTTATTAATGGTAATTGTTGAATATACCTAGAAACGAAATTACTAAACGGAAGTTCTCATATGCTTTTTTCTTCAATAAAAATGTTTATAAATATAATTTGATTTTTCAGATGCATACATTGGGTGAAAGTAGTTTAAAGGAAAACCTGGTATATGTGCTCATTGCAAAGCTTTGTATATTAAAACGTTAAAACTAAATTTTTGTTAACTGTTTAAAATCTGAGGATATAAAGAAAAGAAAATAATGACTACACAATACGGATATCAAACTAAAATGTATACTCATAAGGTCTGTACAAGTAAGACTCATCCATATATCTAAAATATAGACAAAGACTTTTCTCCTTTAGACCTATATCTCATTGTAATTTCTTGAAGTTTCGCATTAAGAGAGCGCAATATTTGAATAAACGGTTTTGACCTAAAATAGTCTACCTACATTGTATTGTAATTGTACAAACATCCAGACCCAGAACATTTATTTTAAGGCATATAAACACTTGTTCAATGCGAGACTGCACCCGCGGTCCTGCAGTGCTGGAGTCAAATGTTAAGTCACACACATTTATTTTAATACAGATTAACTAATATACTGAGAGGTGCGAGGATGATCAAATGATACGACAGCTTTGTGAGACGGCCTGTTTATTACTGCCAACAACTTACAATGAATATTTATTTATATTAACCTTCTTACGACACTACAATACCTTAATGATTATTATTAATTACAGAAAGAATAAGGACTTACTATTATGACTACTGTCTTTATTGTCTTCTTGAGATAAATTCTGACTAGTTTCAGGTTCCTGTTCTTTTGGTGAATTTTCTTCTTTCACTTTATTAGATGATGATGATTCAGGCTTTTCATCATTGCTATTTTTTTTATCTGTTATATTTGATGTATTACATGTTGTGCTGTAATATAAAAAATGTGCTTAGAAATATTAGTAGAAGATAAAATATGAAATTATTTATTTCTTATATATAAAATATATACAGGGTTATTTTTCAAAAAATATCCAAATTTTATATTTAACATGTAGCGAAGATGTAGCGGCGGCGCGGAACAGTGTGCGGGGTACAGGGGGGCGAAATATAATATGAAAATATCGCTCAATCGATCGAAAAAATATTTATAGTATGAGATGTAATATATGTTATCTCAGTGTAAACGGTTCCATTTAAAAGTACGAGATATAATAAGATTCAGTTTCTTACACTTTGTACATATTTAGTAATTGTACACACGACGAAATATCAAGGTATCCATTTCCCGTATAATCAGATCCCGTCTATTGACAGGATCTGATTATACTGGATTTTTTTACGTCTATTGACAGGTAATATGGCAAGCAACACCGCGCAGGACCAGCTTATACCGGAAATGAGTAGTTTGATATGCCGTCGTGTGTAATCATGATAGCTTAAATGGTTTTACTTCATTTAATACATCGACATTCAGAAAAATATTCCAACAAATTCTGGGGCATGTCCCTATTAACATTGTCATTCAATTTAATCGACCCAAAATGGCACTACCTACGCCAATCACTAGTAATTATAAAGTTTTTTTTTTAAACTAGTAAATAAGGCTTCTAGTTTTATGTGAAAACATCCCAAATTAGATGTGATTTATGGACAACAAATGCTTTGTGTGCGGTTCAATTCACAACATTGTTACCGACCGAGCGAACCTTACGTAAGTGTGCATGTGTAGTAAAATAGTACTAGTACCCTATATAATAAAAATGTGAATCGCAGGTGTCTGTATGTTTTATTGAAACAAAAATGATTAAAAGAAATTTTATTTATTGAATTTGAAACTATAATTACTGAAAGAATTAAATACATTTCTATCCTTTTTAGAATAAATCATATAGTAATAAATTACTATATGATTTATTCTAAATCATATAGTAATTTATTACTATATGATTTAGAATAAATCAGTTTAAAAACTTTAAAATATTTCTTTAAATATATTGTAAAAGTAGGGGCTAAAACCGTGGCAGACGATTTGAAAAAGCGCGTTAATTCAGCGTCAATTCTGTTTGCCATTTGGTAAATTGTTTATATATTAAAATAAAATAATTTAAATTCATGTCCCTCATGATTTTTTTTATTAACACACCTCTGCCGCGGTCTGGTGGCATGTAAGCCCCTAACAAACTGGCAATATTTTTCCACATTTCTTCAATATAAATAAAAGAATTTTCCATAATTAGAATCCATGTACCTTATAAATTTTTTTGCCCCTAAATTTGTTATGTTTAACTGCAAGCCCCTACTTTATGTCCCAGCTTCGCAATGGCAGACAGGCAAATTTATGTTCAGCTACATGGTTTCTTTAGTTTTTTTTTTTATAGGATAAGGATGACAAAAGACCACAGTCTACCTGATGGTAAGTGGTTGCTGTGGTCCATAGACATCTACATCTATCTTCGTTTGCAAATTAAAATGCAGATGCATTGTCACCCGTGAGGTATTACCTCACGGATGACAACGCATCTGCATTTTAATTGATGGAATGCCTCGTTTCCAGTAAAAAGGATCTCCGGTTCTCTACACTCACCATAGGAAACACAGCAGCATTAAGTTGCTATTTTATGCTAGTATTCTGTGAGAGTATGGTCCTTCCCCAGTCGAGCCGACCCATTCGTGCTACAACCATAATATAGCTGCAGCATGGCTCTACCACGTAAAAGTTTCGTTAGTTCAGTTTCTTTTTTAATACAAATCAACCATGTACCTGATGCATACATTTTTTATGTAGCCAACTTTCCACCTATTAGTAGTTTATTAAAGGAACACAGTGGACACATATATTGCCGTCAGTTATGATGTTGGGGAGGGGGCGTTTTATTCCAAAAATTTGCTTAAAACGAAAGTTTAGAAGGGGTTAGCGAGTGAAGACTTTTGTCACATTACTTTATGACACAAAAATGTCAAAAGAATTATCTAATCTTATACTCCTTCACCATCAGCCCTTAAGCCTACTTCAAAACATTGTACTCTCCCACTGTAGGAATGATTTGCTAAAGTTGTCACAAGTGACAGACAGATTGGCATTTGAAATACAAAACATCTCACAACTTCGACATTGCTGTCCACAACCAGTCTGGGTATTTTATGTCGGACCCTAAAGTTTGATAGCGCCATATATCAGATGTCATTAGATTTTTCTGGTGTTTCCCATAGTAGCCTTTTACTATGCCTTCGGGACAAGTGATGGATTAATTTACGCTGCTACTACACGGAAATGAATTGTCGATCCCATCTATTGTTTTCATAAATTAACTCTTAAATTAGAGTAATTGTTAACCTCTTTACTTTTTTTTTAAATATTCTTAGTACATATCTACAATACTTAGTTTTATCTAAAATTTACATATAATATTGAACACATACAACATCCTCAGTGTTTAAATCATACATACACTTGATTGGTTTCATGATGTTATTACTCTTTATAAGTATAAATTTATCTATGCTATTATTGTTTGAGTTTGAACAGTGGTGTAATTTATAAAATATAATCAAGTCCCTAGAAATTAAACTTTCAAAACAAATAAGTTACTAACAAATATTCTAGCAAACTAAGTCGCAGGCACAACTAGTTCTTATAATACCACTACATAAAGGTGACATTAATGTAGATATAGAGGTGACAGGCAATCCAAAAGCCAAGCAGATGACAAGTTGCTACTTCTACTAAGTACTTAAAATTGGAATATAGTAGCAGGTACACTGCTAATTGGCAGTAAAAATAGGTACTACAGTAGGTGCGTACCCTGATGGACTCCTGGGCAGAACAGAAATTCTATCTAATATTTACAGTAGTAAGGTTTTGCTGTATATTCAGAAATACACAATCATTTTTTGACATTTTAAATCTGAAGTTATTGCCATGATTAAAATCAGCAAAAACATAATTTTTCAATACTTTTAAAATACAAAATTTTGAATCAATTTTTTCATTTTAGATTTGTTATATTTATAACTTACAGATATAGAGATGATAGTAAGACAACTCACTGTTGAAACATTATTACGTGAACTTTGATTATCATTACTTACCTGGCACTAGAATCACAGTTGTTGGTTTCAGTGCGAGGTACCTTATTTGGGTAACTGTCACAAAGCCGTGCTTCTTTGTGTTCTGCTAACTTGATTGCCTCTGCTGCTGCTTCATTGGGTGTTAAATGTCTGGCCTTTAAAATTAAATTTCATTATGCTTTAAATTTTTTAATTACTTTTTCATCTGGCAAAATTATCTATAATATAAAAATTAATCGCTGAATGTGTTGCTAAGCGCAAATCTCGAGAGCAGCTGAACCGATTTCACTAATTATTTTTTATAATATTCCTTGAAGTACGAAGATGGTTCTTACAGAGAGAAAAATTTGAAAAATTGCCTGAAAGTCTAAAAACAACACTTTTCTATATTCCCATACAAATGATTCATAATAATACTTAAAAGTCAATTTGAACTTTAATACTATACCATAAAGTTTAAGCGTTAATGGAGGGGTTCCGGGAAGGCAAGATAGTTGAGTGACGTTAGTATGGTATAAATATTATATCGTATCGTATCATATCGATGGCGGTACGAAGTTTGCTGGGTCAGCTAGTTTTATAATAAAAAAAAATCCTTTTTTAACTAATCTATACAGTTATCCTTTGTTTTTCTACTAATAGTTATTAGCTATGAGTTATTTTACCTGAAGATTGGATGCACAGTATTGGTTGACACAGTTTGGATTACCACAGCCATCTAGTAACTGATAGAAATATCTCTCAATCAATTGTTTAGCGGCACGCTTCATAATGTCTTGAGTGCTATCCAAAACTGGATTTAAGCATAAAACTGGTTGAGATGAATCTTCTAAATTGTTTGGGGTTGGTATATTATTAGACGATGATGCTTCGCTCCCCCTTAAAACAAATAAATTTAAAATTTAGATAAATCTGCTCGAAGTTTCCTAGAATATTGTCACCAAAACAAAGAACGAAAATGACAAGTAATGCATAACCTCGTCAACTAATCTTTGTTGCATTATTACACATCAAAACTCTAAGTTAAACACGTAAAAAATTGTGATAATATTAAATTTACGTAATAATAACTATCCATTAAAATTATAAATTAAATCGCAAAATGATGAAATTACCTTGAAGCTTCGTCAGTTTCGCTTTTTGAGTTCATAGAAATTAATGGTATCCAATGCTAAATAATGCCTAACCAATAAATAATATAAATGAAATTGGATAAGCGGGAACATTCGCCAATTATTTACTATTTTCAGCACAATATTTTAAAACAAACAAAGTATAGTTATTATTACTAATAGTGATTGTTCTTATTTTCTACGATCTGTCATCCATTTTGATTTTGAACCAAAGAGAAAGAGATTGTTATTACGTTTAAGAGGTCTTGAATCATACAGTCTAGTCTGACGTGTATTTTATTCACAAAAATGTTGTCTTACAAAAGACCATAGAACGATACAATTCGGCACCGGCAGATGGGAGGGAAGTACGAGTAGCAATATGCAGATTTTACCCTCTGTAAAAGTATAAATCCATGCGGTCCTATTTTTACAATAAAACTAATTTCAGCTGCATTGTTCATTAGACTAAATCTAGTTGCGCGAACGAATTGACGTCCTACAAAACCAACTGTTTAGGTCTTCTAGGTTCAGGATAGCACGCTAGCACATGCGGCTAAAGAGAAAGCGAACAAATTAGAGTTTTTTTTGCCTACAATTCACGTCTAGACAGTGGCAATAACGTTCCACCTCGACTATTTCATTGTGGTACATCTATCTACATCTATGTCGGAGATCCGACTTACCAATAAGAAGTTTCTTAAACCTTGTGGAGACTAGAAGTGAACAAGAGCCAGTGGACCGAAGGTATAACTACTATGGTTATAAATTCTTGTTTCGCCTTTATTTAGGACTGGAAAAGTGCCCAAATCCAGGAAACTTGCCATCGTGCAGCTCGTACCCAAAAATTAGTCATGCTAACACTGCCATCTCAATTACTTCAATACTCTGCAAGATTATGAAGATCTCAATAACTTCCATTCTTTGCAAGACTATGCAGTGTATATTGAACGCCTAACGAGTGATTGACTGTAAGGGTTTCGCCATAATCGGTTGACAGGGACATCGGACGTGTCCCATTCACATATGGGGCGAGGCTTTAGAGAAAAATAAGGACGTAACGAGTCTGACAAGGTCTGGCATTTTAGCCTTTTAGGCAAGCTACCTCACCTCACCGTCTCACCTTGGCTCCTTTCTGAAATGTATTATTAGAAAACACCAACCATCATCAGATGTTAGGGGTGGATATTTCCTCGAACCTGAACTTCAGACGATTCCATTGATTTTAAGTCTAAAACAGCTGCACGGTAGTTAGAGGTCAGTTCAAAAGTGCGGCGGTACTTCATCCCGGGAGAGCTGCTTACTCTATATGAAGCAAAAGTCCGGTCGTGCATGGAGTGTTTCTGTCGTATAGGGCATGGTGCCACAAAATACCAACTTGATGACGTCAACTAGATGACGATGTTTTGACGAGTTCTAACAGTTTCTAAAATTATGTTGAGATCAAATATACATTGTTGATTCATTCATTACGATCTTTCAAACTCAAATAATGAACATCAGCCTAACCAACGGATAACCTCATAAGGGGGTATTTTTCATAGTTTCCACTTTTGCCAGGCGGCTTGACAATCGCAGACAAATTTTTACTTTGGGCCTAGTTGTTGTTAGCAAGATGCCGTTACCCATCTCCTGGTTTTCATCTGCCTTTTACCACACTCACGGGATGAATTGGAGTAGTGAATATTCTTTCACCGCCAATACACATTGTTATTACATAGTTATGTTATAAACGACGTTATTACCTAATTAGAGATTTGGAAAAATATTAAAAAAAGGTTGTTTCAATTATAAAATATCGTGATTAATTTCAAACTTGCAACTATTTGTAGGAGAAAATTGTTATGCATTTTTCATGTGAAACTTTATTCGACAAAGAATATATAACAGAAATTATTTTTTAAATAGATTCATATTTAAAAAAATGTAATAAACAAAATAAAATTACTATAAAATGAGCAGCGTTTCGCTCGCTCCTGAAACTCAAACCCGCTACCCGCTCATCATCGTGGGACTGTAGTATAGGAAAATCTGCAAAATTTACACGAACTTCAAATGATCGCAAAAGTATTGTCTAGTATACGCCAACTGACTTATTTTGAGCCCGTGTTTTTTCAGTAGTTATTTGAAAACATGGAAAGTTTAATAAACAAAATTTTGTCACAATTCAATTGTCATGAAAAGATATAAAAATGAAGGTTGTTTATCAACGACCGATAAAAAAATGCCTATGTTAATTAAGGTTTTTGTATAGAAGGTTATTGCAGATGTAATCAATCCACATACAAGTTACCAGTATTATTTTATTTAAATTTAATTTGAATATTTTTATATAGATTTTTCTGAAGTAAAATTATTTATATACGTTTAAATACTGTTTCTAATAACGCACATAACTGGAACCACAGAGTTATTGTTACATATTGTATTTTGTCGGCACTAATGGAAAGCTATAACATTAGAAGACAGGCTAACTGAGTAGATAACTTCTATATTATAAATATTAGTTATTAATCTAAATTTAACTACTGCAATAATAACCTCGGCGTAAGATATTACTAAAATAACCTAAACGTCATCGTAATCGGACGGTAAGCTAAACAAAGAATCCGACGGGTTAATTAGGACAGGACTATTCTAAAAGGTCTGAAATGATAGAATAGAATAGAATGATTTTTTTATTCAATATTGATTATTACATAATACTTATTGAAAGTCATTTTTATTTATCAATGGTTTGGAAAAACCTTTGTCCTGGGAAGAACCAGCAAGGAACCCAGAGGGACTTTTTTTTCAAACATATTTCACTTAACAATAATTTTGTTTATACAATATTTAAATAAATTTTCATAGAACCAGCATGGTGGCGATCACCTTATTCCCAGATGTTATTTTCATTCATGTATTCCTTGATATTATAATAACCCTTTTTGTACAGTTTTCCTTTAATAAAACTTTTAAACTTGTTTATTGACAAACACTGAACACGTTATGGGATTTTGTTGTAAAAGCCTATACATTGCCCCATAAATTTTCACTACGTGATAGAGCCATGCTGCAGCTATATTATAGTTGTAGCACAAATGGGTCGGCTCGGCCGGGGAAGGACCACGCTCTCACAGAATACCAGCATAAAATAGCAGCTTAACGATGCTGTGTTTCGTATGGTGAGTGTAGAGAACCGGAGACCCTTTTTACTGGAAACGAGGCATTCCATCTTAGCCTCACGGGTGACAACGCATCTGCATTTTGATTCGTAATCGAAGATAGATGTAGATGTCTATGGGCCACAGCAACCACTTACCATCAGGTGGGCTGTGTGCTCGTTTGTCACCCTTATCCTATAAAAAAAATGAATTACTGATTCTGTGGAGTCTAGTAACTGGCATTATAGCTTATGTTTGTTCCTAGTGTTTAAAGTATGAACATCCTTATTCTTATTAAGGCTATTTATGTTTTTATGTATTACAATGGTATGATATGGTATGGTATGGTAATGATATCACAATGGGTGGACCTCACAGAGGGTAACCCACTGATTAACAATTCACTCATGGTCCAGATCATAGATCCCCACTGCACCGGGTGAGTCGAGCCCTAAAACAAGACTGCTTAGCGAGTTTCCGATTAGTTCATATGCTTATTGTATTAATTTTGATTTTTTATTCTAATAACTTTCTTTGCGTTTTCCCATATTATCTACCTGAAATGGATATTAAAATAAATTACTATTTAATTAAGTACATCAATTTCTGATAATTACAAAAACCAATACATAATAAAACTCACGTACTTAGTCTACTTACTCGAAGAATACAAATAATTTTAGCAGTCGTGTCCGACACTCGCGACCCACCTTTATGCCATGTTAAACAATTGATGTATCGACACGATTCGTCAAATCGAGCTACGAACGGACGTGTAATCACCTCGAAAATTGAGGCGGCTCTGAATTTTTTTCACGCGTGTTCTCTAATATAAAACGAATTACAGAAACCTAACCATTTCATACAAAAATGTATGAAAAGCAGAGGACGATTTCTGCTAAAAAATTAATGATATTTAGGCTTAGATTATTGCTTTTTGGTTTGAACAAGTAAAAGTAATGAATGGTGAATGTGTTGTTATATGTACTTTTATATCACGTTTTAACCAAAAATATTTTCTAAAATAATAACGAAATAGCCTAGAGAATTAAAATAGAAAATCAAGATCTTTTTTATAAATATCATACGGTGAAATTGAAGACTAATCTATTAACTAATTGAAATTTTTATGGTTTATTTTTATGGCACGTCATTCAATGAAGTCACTTCTTTAATATTTTAATAATCGTAGCTGCCTATTTTCGCGTTTCATAAGGACCGGCCTCTTAGGCCCGTATTAATAAACGTTACTCAGCTCAAGTATACACACTTGAGTACAATATTGAGGTTATGATCTTATTAATAAACATATCTCAAGATGCGGTTTAAGTTTACGATATCAGCTGAGTACCTCTATATGTATGATATATCCATAGACTTAGAATATACGACGGCGGCACTGAAAATTTCGGGAATCAAGGAAGTGACACAACATTACTATTTAAAAATGTATTTATTGCTTTTCAAAGTATTCTCCGCGAAATTTGACACATTTTTCCATACGATGGAACCAATCATTGAAGCAACCATTCCATTCGGAAGTCGGGGTCTCCAAAATGGCCGTTTTGTAGGCGTCCACAGCTTCTTCAGGTGATGAAAATCTCTGTCCACGCAATTTATTCTTTATTTTAGGGTAAGTATAGAAATCATTAGGGCTTAGGTCGGGGCTGTACGGCGGATGGTCTAATAATTCTATGTTTTCTTGCTCTAAAAACTCTTTTGTTCTGTGTGCGGTGTGAGAACTCGCATTGTCGTGATGGAGGATGATGCGGCGGTTGCAGTTCTCTTTACGGAGTTCAGAAACTACCTGTGGCAAGCAAATGCTAGCATACTATTCTGCATTAACCGTTCTTTGTCTCTCAAGAGGAATAGTCGTAACATGGCCGGTTTTG